TTCCAAGGCACATTTTTCACATTTAAAATTTCTCGATTAAGTGTTTGTTATTATATAATTTACTTTAATTTCAATATAAGTGTTACTTTTGTAAAATTGAAAACATTTTAAAGGCCTTCTATTCCATTTTTTCTTAAAATATAAAAAAGCGCCATCTATTGTTATAACTTTAACTTTTCGGATGAACACCGTAATGATGCATTATTGAACATGAAACAATGAAATAAATGAATATCTACAGCCTACATTACAAAGGTTTCAATTTTGTTATCAAATTCCGCATAGAATTAAAAAAAATCGGTTGCCCTTCTGTTCCAGACTATCCTCTACATCTATGCCATATTTCATCGATATCTTTTCACTATTATTTAAACTTTCGTGAGACATTTTATAATTAATTATTTACGGCTTACTCACGTATACTTTTCTTTTCCCCCCGCAGGGTCTGAAACTGGTCGGTGCCGTCACCGGAAAAAGAAAAGTATACGTGAGTAAGCCGTAAATAATTAATATTTTCAGTAGTTTAGGCTACAAAATTTCAAGTTAAGTTTTTATTACCTTAGAACTTATCTATACGGATTAAATAGACAATACCGAGTGTACATTACACTCGTCTAATCCCGCATTATGTAAATTCAGAATAGTTTTGAATTTCAAATAGGGAAGGCTTATTTTGATAGCTTCATTTGTTTCGTTAAAATACTGCGGTAGAATAAATTTTAAAATTAGAACATAAAATAGAAACGAATTTAATGTACACAAACTATAAATACACGATTCAAATGTTTCCGGATTTAAAAAAAACATTTACTATTTATTTTTAACAAAAATAATAATAACGTAAATTTTTGTATATTTGACGTCGTATTTTTCGGGGCTTGTACTGTACTGTACTTTAATAGGGACATATAAACGACATCAAAATTTCGTACGAATACTTTCTCGCAAATTTTCGTGCTAGACCCCTGTATATATCGCCCGGTGTACCACAAGACAACCATCAAATTGGAAGTTAAGTGTTTTGTCTGATGTGTGTGCTGAAGGCCAAATTGTCTCCTCATTTATAATAAGGAAACGATGGACAGGAGAATTGAATTAAAGAAACGGGAAGGAAAATCGAATCAGTTTCTTACTTATTTCAGATAGCTGTTCCCTTGCGACTTCAGCCGCATTATGAAAAATTCAAAATTGTCAAAATTACCGTTACCATAACAACCTTGCTTCCTTAATGTTGGCTCTTAGTTTATGGTCTCTTTCCCACATGAAGGTTTTTTCCGAATTATTTTCCCCCAAGTTTAATAGTGTGAAAATATATAGCCTTAAGGATGTCGTAAGTGTAGGGCTTCTTTAAAGAAAGAATTATTCAAAAATATGCTGTAATTGCTGACATCCTACGCCACAAAGTTGTGTGTGTACGCTTTATTACATTGGTATATAAAGAAAGTGTTAAGAAAGAACGTGGATGGCTTCAGAAGTAGAGGAAGAATGAACAAAGTATGGATGGATTGTGTGACAGAGGATATGCTTAAGAAGGAAGTGGATTCAGATATGACGGCTGATAGAGATGTATGAAGCATATACTGTGCCGACCCTCAAGGCAACAAGGGCAAGTTGATAATGATGATATAGGTATAATTTAAAAAATAAAAGAACTTGTATCTCTTTAGAAAATTTACATTTATTCTTACATACATATCAAGTACTATGTACAGTCAGAAAGAAAAGCGCACAATACATGCACAAAAATATCTCATATCTAACATAAACTGCGTTACATACAAAGTTTGAGTAATTCATATAATTGTGATTTATAGACATATGTTTCCCGTTATAATGGACAAATACAAAATTTAGTGTATTTTCATCATTTTGTGCGCAATATATTTTTTTTGCAAACCATACAACTTTGATGATATTAGCGCGGAAAAGAAAATGTATTCAATTCTTTGAAGATTTTTTTTTTATTTAATTTTTATCAAGTTACAATCACAGATTTAAAAACAATGTATTTTAATCGACAAATATAACGAGAAAGTTATCTTTTAAACTGTTTTTTTAATGCAACATACTTTTGAATACATATTCCATTAATCGTCATTATTCCAGATGTCAAATTATAAATGATTCGATAATACATCGGCCGAATACTGAAACTAATGTTTAACACTTCGCTTCGTAAGTCGTTTACTGACAGGTCAAACTTTTAATGGAATTACAAAGAGCAGGCGCCTTTGTCTAAATCGCACAACTGTCGATTGTTTCGCAGCCCATTTGCACAAACAGAGTAGTACCTCCATATAAGCCCATAGGAAACAAAGCGTGACTAAACAGTTATGCGAGAGTTTAAAGGTCTCGCTTTAAGTGTGACGCTGTTACATATTTTAATATCGTTCCAGTATTCGTCCATAAGTGAAATAATTCAAAAATGATTATAACAAAAACAGTTAATAATACTTTTAAATCGATATTTCTTAATTCTTTTGTACCACGTCTTAAATTAAATAAAAAAACATGATTTCTTTAGCTTAACCAAAAATGCCAGACGCAATTGAACTAATTCCTTTGCTCAAATTAGAAAGTGCTGTTAATGGCTTTTTTATAAAGCTGTACTATTATGTACTGTCAAAGTACAATATTTTATCTCTGTCATTTTCAAATAGTTTGTAAGGGACAACAATAGTTTATTGTATTATAAATGATTGCACGTAAAACCTTTGGTAAGTATTTCAATGCCTTTGGTTGATTGTATATTGCCAATAATTTCATATTGCAGTATAAATACAAAATATAATTTAAAAACGACTAGATCTTACAAAGAAATTAATCTAAAATAATTTATCTAAATAAAAATATTAAATAAAATAAAATCTTTACTAACTTATAATACTGCTAAAAAATAATGGTTTATTTAAATAAATATTATCTACGTAAAAGGGAATGTATTTTATATTTTATTAATGAGAAAAATAAAGTTGGTTTTAAACAGACTTATTGACTGACTACAGATTACGTATTCACACGAGGGTAGACAGTACAGCGGAGCAGTAGAAAGTACAGTAATAAAGCACTCGCCGTGGACAGTAATTTATCACCTCCATTTACGTTCCCACTAAGAGGCTTAAAGCTTACCCTAAATTACGGGCCACTAGATTAACACGTGCGCCAGTGATGCCTTTGAACAGTAACTGAACTGTCTAGTGTTCTGTCAAACTGTTCTACCCACGTGTGAAATTAACCTTCGAAATTCCCATGTAAAAAGTTTATTTTAATCATTGCAAACGCTCCCTTAACCGCGTTCTATGTAAATAAGCTGTTTATTGATATTTTTATTAACACTCTACGCACAACTCAGACTAGATTGTCTCGCTTAAATTAGAAGCCTTCTTAAGTAATTTTTTACATCTAATTAACTTTATGTAATATCACGCACGATTTACCTTCTGTCGACTATCGTACTGACCGTACTCATTGGAATGTTCTGAGATCTCTTGACTAGAAGCTGCGTCAAACTCCCCATTTGACATGACGCGCGTCAAACTCCCCATTTGACATGACGCGCGTCAAACTCCCCATTTGACATGACGCGCGTCTAACTCTCCATTTGACACGACGCGCGTCTAACTTTACATTTGACATGACGCGCGTCAATGTACCCATGTAATGTCAAACTGATACGGTAAGAGGCACCGATGACGTGATTACTTTCGTCAGAAAATTTGGGTAATCTGTTTATGTGACATCTTGTGACGTCTTACAAACTATTTAAAGCGGACGCACATCTTCGACTAAACTATCGCATAACTGTTGTGCGATTGTCGATTGTTTCGAAGCCAATTCGACTAAAAATCGAATAGTGTGCGCACCTCCATTAAAAAGATATACGCGTGCTCTTATAGCGATAGCGTCAAAATAATGACACAAAACCCACGCCTTACTGCTGTCTCGTCAATTCTTGTGTCATTTTAAAAGCAGGTATTATTATCTGACAGAACTAACCACTATCAGTTTACCAGACTACGTGAGTACTTTGACGCATCCGTCAATTTCACATGTTTCTTGTAAAAAAGATGGTGAAGTTTGACGCAGCTGTATATTTGTACAAATTCAAACACCTTGTACATTATTTGATTGTATAAATCAAGCAATTTTTTTTTTAAATAAAATTTTTGTCTCTCAAATTACTTGTATTAAATGTCTACATTTGTGTCGGTATTTTCTACTAATTAACCGTCACCAATCGTCCGATTTGATCGGGCATTTTTTCTATTTACCATACAAATGTTAAATTACATAAATATGTAGAAATTAACATCGGAGATTTTATTGCATCTTCTATAAACTAGAAAGCTCGAAAAGCCTGAACACACCTAAATTAGTTAATAATTATTAAAGTTGGTCTCTACTACATATAGAAGACGTAAATTTTACGGCGATTGTTTTTGTACACATGTAAACTAACAATAAAACGCAGCTTAAGACTTGAAAAATCATAGAATAAAGATAAAATGTAAATGGACTTATTTACGGTAACCTTTAGGTGTATTCAGAGATTTTCTTAACATTCTTAAAATAAACATACATGTTACACTAAAAATCGTAGATCTATAACCTATAGATACCTCATCTAGAGCAGAAGAAGGATTACGTTGCTTTTATTAGGGTAAATTGTGTTGTCATTTTCATATTAACAGTGGTAGTGCACGCTTTAACATCTTAGCACGAATGGGCCGGCACGCCCGGTGTAATACCACGACCACACAGAAGACAGGCGTAAAATGGAACCAATGCCGTGTTTCGTCTGATGAGTGTGGTGCCGGAGGCCTAATTTAAGTCCCTTTCTCTTTACCACCCTTTTCTTATAAGGAGAGGTTGGGAAGAGGAAGTGGAGGAGATGCATAGGAAGGGGAAATATCCTCTTTATGTGCGTCTCCTCCTCCGTCGTATAAGGGTAGGCAACGCATCTGCAATTGCAGATGCCTATGGACAGCGGTCGCTTCGCCATTTTGGCGATTTCAGGGGGCCGCATGCTCGTTTGCCACCTTATGTTATAAAAAAAAACATAAAATGACAATGAAAATCGACTATTAGATGTGAAATTCCTATAGGTTATATTTCTATTAGTAAAGGTACTGAAAAACTTAATTATCTATTTGATGACGTTTGACTAGAAACGTTTATCGAGAGATCAATACCAGCCATTCGAGTACCGCACTATTGTCCTTCCTACTCTATGTAACACCAGCACGAGTTTACACCGAATGCTTTTTATTAGTGGAAATCTTTTTAAACACTGCGATTAGAAAAAAAACTATTTTGTATAAGATATCATTGTTTGACTAAATTATTCCACAACAGTACGATTGTCGATTGTTTCGCAGCCAATACAACTGTTTGCACAGATAAAAATCAAGTAGTGTGCCCTCTATAAGCTTATACGAATCAAAGCGAGATTTTGACAGTCGTGCGATAGTTTAGTCAAAGGCGCACTCTAAAAGGAAACTTATTTCTAATCGTATCATTTGCATTAATATAGCATATCCTTTTTTACATATGTTTGAAATATTTTCAATATCAAAATACCATATTCATTCTACTAAAAAGCATTCGGAATTACAAACTCATTGTTTACCCTTCAAAGCACCAATAGCTGGCGCTGTGGGATACGGCGTCACAAGAGATGGTCATCAGCATCGTCGTGGTCCTCCTCGGAGTCCGCGGAGTCTAGACTAGGGACGTGGTCCAAGTCATGACTCTCGCACTGCTGGTCCAACTCCGCCGGCGCGTCATCATCCCTCCACTTATCCATAGACCGTCTGCGCGCGTTCATGAAGAAGTTACCAACTGTAGTCGGTTCTAAGCCAAGCTGCCGCGCTATCGTTACTTGCATTTCTTTCGACGGCCTCTTTGTTTCCTGGAATATAAGAAAATTTTCATATTAGATCAAAGAGATTTAAAAAAATATATACATTTTTAACTCTATGAGTTAAAATAGTTGAGATTTTACTTAAAAAATATTCACATAATGTCACTAACGCTACCTGGTCTCCGATAGTCAAACAAACAAATAGTGTTTCTCACAAGTAAACAATGATCATTGTCACCGATTCACTATAAGTCCCCACCGGGGGGCTCGGAGCCTACCCTAAAGTAAGGGGTGCCTAGGCCATAGTCAAGCACGCTGCACTGCGGGTTGACTTCACACATATCTTTGAATTTCTTCGACGATATGTGCAGGTTGCATCACGATGTTTTCCTTTACCAAATTATACCAGGATTAAATAACTTTGGGTGTCAATTAAAAGAAATGGCGGTGTCTAAAATTCAATTTTTTTTCTGTTTTATTTATCTTCTAATAAACTTGTTACGAGTTCTGTTAGTTCACAAAATCACTTCTCATACAAAAAATAGACAAGTCCTTTGACATTGGGATATTACCGTACAAAGAAAGAAATGTTAGGGGACCCTATGTCTAGTCTAGATATTTCTTAAATGTCTTTGTATTAGATATTATAAGTCTAGATAATTTATCACCAAAGAAGTTCTTAAGCCGAGTCGAATGATCGAATCATTTTCCAACCAGCGACCGTACCCTTTACAACTTCCTAGCAACGCCAATGACAGTTTTAAAAAAAGGATTTATACGTACTTAAAATTTTAATTAATGTTTACAGATCTTCACTTGACCTTTTCTTGAATTTAATATTTAAAGAAATATGACAATACCTTAAAAATAGCTTGTAGAGTACGCCGCTGGAGGTCTGTGAAAACCAAACGCGGCTTCTTCGGGGAAGGCATGGTATCCGAAGCCATTTCCTCCTTGCGCTTGCAACCTGCAATTATTAAAATAAAAATTACCGTCTCGACAGTTACCTTCAGTGCAATAAATCGAATTTAATACTAACTCAAGATTTAGTAAGGTGGTGCATGTTATTGTAAAATATATGTGTTAATTTTTAAATTAAAAATAGATTAGCAAAACGCTACAATCGGTGGTCATTTCTCCTACTCATATTCTTACGATCATTGCTAATTTGATTTCTTATTATCTAGATTTAGTTTCGTTAACACAAATAAGTGCAACATAAACTACACAGAGCGTTTGGCAGCCAAAGCTAATGACTCCACGGCTGCATGAGCTCAAAGAATCCCTAAATTCAATTAAACGTGGAAAAAAAAGCTTGTACATAAAAAAAAATAGAAAAAAAGATTAAAAATGAAGTAAAAAATAAACAAAAACAAGGTAAAAAAACTAAAAAATAAAAAAAAAACTACACAACAAGGTTGTTGCAAGAACTACAGCATGAGGAAATAAAATAAAAAGCACATAGAGCTTTGGGTTTAAATTTCTTAGCAACATAAACGTTATATAAAGATAATTCAAACATTGCTTACTGCCTCTCTGAGGAATCTGGGCCGCTGAAACAAAAGAAACGACAAGAATTAGTACAGTTAAAAACATAATATGTCGCCCTACTACACTTCATGTATGCTAAACTCTTAGAAATATGAATTTTAAAATCTGATTAAGAAAATTTAACAAATTCTCAATGAATTTACTTTCTGATTCCTCTAATTGCAGATTCTACGTACAACAATCATGCTGCTAAAAATAAACAACCAGATAGATTCCACGTGTACAATATATGTCTACACACAGAGCAATAAAAGGACACGTTAGTGACCAATTAAGTCAGTAAGACAGAGGAAGGAACCAATCTGATGTGATTGTTACACGTGGAGACATCATAGTTAAAATAAATCCTGAAACATCTAAAGTTGCACTAATTCTATACAGAAATTCGTAGTCAAATGTCCACATAATAACTTCAAACTGCTTAAAATCCAGTTTAACTGCAAATATTAATTCAAACTGCAGTTTGCTTCATCTCAATTTTATTAGTAAGATTGACAAACCGGAATAGATTACAAACACAAGAGATTTTAAATTATCAAAAAAGTTACTAGATCCAGTCTGTCATTATCTAAAACTTTTATCTAATCAGAAAAAATAACAAACGCATACCTGGCGACAATGTAAACAACATTAATAAGGGTTCTGAAATCTCGCAGGCACCTAAAAATCATATTTTAAACAAATCTAGGCAGCCCTGGCGAGGGGGGAAAGGGGAGGGGATGGCAGAACAGCAGTCTAACATTCACCTTGGCTTCTTTAAGCTAAAACACTTACCTACAGCTAAAACATTTATCCAAGACTAAAACAGTTAATCTCCATTGCGTAGGCAGTATCTTTGCCACTGGACAGGAAGGATACTGCCTATTCAAAGAAACATCTATTAGATAATCTATTTTTTACGTTACACATTTTATGAAAACAAAAAAAGTATTCCACTCAAATGTTGCCATCTTATTGTCTAATATTGGACTTGTCACAAAGCAATCGGCTGATGAAAACATATCAAGTTTTACTAAAATAAAATTACAAAAAGCTCTTTATTACCTTTGAGACAAGCTTTCGATTGACACCTACAAGAAACCAAGTACACTGCTACACAGCCAAGGGGAACAAGGACTTGTGAAACTAGAAAGCCAACTAGAAGAATTAAAAAAAAGAACGAATTGAAGATTTGAATCTAGAATGTAAATCATCTGAAACAAAAGAAACTCAACCAATAGAAGAAAACGTAAATCAAAGAATGGAGAGAGGATTTGAGGATGGCGTCTTAAGGAACCAAATGAAGATGTGGGAAGGACTCACAAGCAAGACATGTCCCCGGCCGATTCGTATACCGGCGTGTCCCAGTGGGGCGGAGGCCCGGGGTACATCCCGGAGCCCTGGGGCGGGGGCGGAGCGCCCGGGTAATTCCGGGGCGCACAGTATGACTGCTGCATGTTGTTTACATTGTCGCCTTTTATCGTTTGCTGTGGCGTATCTGGAAATTCAGTTTAAAATGACTATCCTGTTAAATAACCTTCAAAGAATGGTATATCTATACTATACTATTATAATAAAGCGTAAACACACATTTCTTTGTTGCCTAAGATGTCAGCAATTACAGTATATTTTTGAATAATTATTTTTATAATAAAAGACCCTACACTTACGTCACGCTTTATGCTATATATTTTCACGCCATTAATCTTAGAGGGTAAATATTTTGGATAAAGACCCTAATGTGGGAAAGAGACCATAAGTTGCTGCCAACATCAACAAAGCAAAATTGCCATAGTAAGGTAATTGGTATTTTGACATTTGCAATTGATTATTTGACACATGTAATAAAATAACATTTTCATAAGTTTATGCGGATGAAGTCGCAGGGAAAAGCTAGTATTCTATACAAAAATTTTTGATAGCCAACATTTGAAAGAATGATTGGAAAATATGAATTTAAACTAAATATCATTTAAGTATATTATAACTACAATCGTGATTTTCCATAGCATATAAATTTATTTAAAGCATATTCCCAAACTGTAAAAACAAGGACACATCAGTTTTCTGTAAATAACTAGTTGATACGGTTAATCAATTCAAAGATATATGTGGAGATAACGGATTTCCACGTGGTTGTCCTAACAAACATCTCACCTATCTACTAACTACTGCAATATTTGATTTCACACATCGCGAACAAGTATTTTTCTACCCAACTTGTCAATTCAAGTGCTATGTTCTAGTCATTTTAAGAGTAATTTCATACAATTCTTTATAATAGACTTGCTGTAGCTCGCGACTTCGTCCTTGTAATTTAAAAAAATAGTAAAAAACATAGGTTATGTTACTTATAATGTAGCTTTTTAGTGGTGAAAAACTTTTGAAATGGCCCAGTAGTTTTTGAGTTATTTCAATACATACAAAATGCCAAACAATCAAATCTTTCCTCTTTATAATATTCGTATAGACATAGATATACTAATATTAGAAGGTACCGATGGATGGATTGATGTTTGTTAGAGTTTGTAGCCTAAACGACTGAACGGATTTCGTTAAAATTTGGTATAGATGTAGAGGATAATCTAGAAGAACATATAGGCTGCTCTCTTTTGTTTTTTGTCGCAGGCGAAACCTAGTAAAGAATATTCTGCAGAATCTAATTTACCCACACCTTTTGTAGACAGAACCCTACTTAATATCAATATTTTGAATGGTTCCTTACATAAAAATCTATAATATCAACAAAGGTACAGAATAAATATATTCAGCACGATATAATGTGAATTACATTTAAGAATCAAAATACGTAAAGCGGCTAGAATAGTCGGGCGTTGCGGGGCTCGGGGAGGGACGGTCGATCGATAAGAGGGCCGCCGGAGGCCTGGGGGAGGGAAGAGGGCGGGTGACGTCACAGCGGGGTGCGGGTGGTATGCTCCGCGCTACCCTGCTGACGAAACTTACTATCGTTTTTATTTTCCATTTTAATACCTGTATGATTTTTGTATCTTAAATGATGTTACATGGTCGTGTTATTTTAAATTGTTTGTAGGATCTTGAGAGTAATTTTATTATTATACTAGTTTTAGCCCGCTACTCCGTAAGCGTCAAATTAAAAAAATAGTATAAAACATAGCCTATGTTATTCACTGACAACATAGCTTTCTAATGGAGAAAAAAAATTAAATCGGACCAATAGTTTTTAGGTTATTTCATTACAATCAAAAAAAGCTTTCCTCTTTATAATATTAGTATGATGATTAAGAATTTAGGAGCTAGTAGCAAGAACTATTTCTAAAAATTATTGTCTATAATTGTATAATAATAATTCTATCGGAAATACAAAATTAAAAAACCCTCACTCTTAAACATACTAAGGTAGACGGTATTCATTGCAAAGCTGATTTTTAATCAAGCTAATTAAATTCGAATTTAACAAGATAGTCAACACCTATTCTACAAACATCTTTAAGAAAATGGTGACAACACAATGACCTGCAAATGAGAATAAAAATCCGTATCTACTGCATATCACCAAGCTTAAGTAAATTGCTAAAATTATAGTTAACTCGACATCATCACCAGGCCAAAGTCCAAAGTTAAAGAAAGCTACCACTGTTGTGCCCGCTTTAACATGTTAGCACTGCAGGGCCGGCACGCCCGGTGTAATACCACGATCACACAGAAGACAGGAGTGAAATGGAAGCAATTCCGTGTTTCGTCTGATGAGTGTGGTGCCGGAGGCCTAATTTAAGTCCCTTCCTCTTTACCACTCTTTTCTTATAAGGAGAGGTTGGGAAGGGGAAGTGGATTTGACAGTGGATGAGATGCATAGGAAGGGGAAATGTCCTCTTTATGTGCGTCTCCTCCTCCGTTGTATAATGGTAGGCAACGCATCTGCGGAAGTCTATGGGCAGCGCTCACTTCGTCATTTTGGCGTATTCAGGTGGCCGCTTGCTCATTTGCCACCTTATGTTATAAAAAAAAAACGCTTCACGTCGACCTCCCCTATTGTTTGACACAATGGTATTCAAATGGTCTGTATATTGCCTGTATATATTGTATATTGCCGTACCAATTTTCAATATTCAATACCAAAAACGATCAAAATTGGTACATGTTTTAAACGATAATCACTCTAATAAAATAGGTAATTATGTGGTGTCTGGTACATAACGTGTTGAGTGCAAAATACAACCTCTTTGACTGACAAGCAGTATGTATACAGCCAAAGAGGTTGCATACTGGCCACCAAGGCAATAATCGTTGTTTTAAAGAAAATATATAAAAGAAGAAGTCAAGAATGTGATCGACATAGTTTAGAGTTTTGAGTTTTGTATATTTTTGTGTAAATAAGTTTTAAATAAAGATATGTTTGTTTTATAAAAAGTGTTTTGTATTTTTGGCTGCCGCGCTGTCGGTAACAAGTTAAACATAACGTGTATGGTAGAACACTTTAAAACATATACCTTATGTATTTAACGATATACCTGAAGATGTAAGGGATTAAAAAGGCAAATTTAAATGTTACTAATCTTACTAATATAAATGCGACAGTTTAGATGGATGTTTGTTAGAGTTTGTAGACTAAACGTCTGAACGGATCTCGATGAAATTTGGCATAGATGTAGAGGATAGTTGGAAGAACACATAGGCTACGCACTTTTGTTTTTTTTTAAGCCCAAGCGGATGGAGTCGCGAGCGAAAACTACATAAAAAATATTATTATTAAACTCCCTTTAAAAACACCTTAAATTAATAATCTTAAATGTATAGGTATTGCAGTTTATCTATACTATTATAATAAAGCGTAAACACACACTTCTTTGTTGCCTAAGATGTCAGAAATTACAGCATATTTTTGAATAATACTTTTTTTTAAATAAAAAGTCCTACACTTACATCACGCTTTAGGCTATATATTTTCACACCATTAAACTTAGGGGGTAAATATTTTGGATAAAAACCCTAATGTGGGAAAGAGACCATAAGTTACTGCCAACATCAAGGAAGCAAGATTGCCAAGGTTTGTCACCGTTATGTAATTTTGACATTTGCTGTTGATAATCTGACACATGTAAACAATAAAATAAAGTTTATGAATTTTATGCCACTGAAGTCGCAGGAGAACAGCTAGTTATAGATACAGTTATACTAGACATTTTTATAACAATGTTTTTAAAATAAGTAAAGTATAACATTGTAACTTAGGGCAATAACGAGAAAATAGGTCGACATCAACAGAAAGTACGCTCGAGGTAAACTCCTACGAATTGTGAAAAGTATCGCAAAACTAATTACATCCTATGAACTAGTTTTACGTAAGGAACAGAATGTTGGGATACATTTTTAAAAGTGGAATTCCAATAGTTCATAAGCTCACCTCAAACTTACGTATTTTAGTTAATATTACGATAGCTACAAATTTGCAATTTACACCTTGTTTTATATTTCTTAAATTAACTAAATAAATATTAATTTCTATGTAAATAAAAGACAGAATAAATTGTAGAGTTTACTAATATTATAAATGCGAAAGTTTAGATGGATGTTTGTTCGAGTTTGTAGCCTAAACAGCTGAACGGATCTCGATGAAATTTGGTATAGATGTAGAGAATAGTTTGGAAGAACATATAAACTACTCACTTTTGTTTTTATTTAATTCCACGCGGACGGAATTGCGGGCAAAAGCTAGTTCATAAATCAAGAACCTCTAACCTACGTTTTTTTACTTAACATTACGATAGCTCCTACACATTTGCAATTTACACCTTGTATCATGTTTTTTTAAATTACTTTTTTTGTTAATATCGTTAGAAAGACGAAACTGCAGAATTTTATTTTTTGTGCATTAGAAATCTCTTAATTTGTATTAATTGTTGAAGGTTTGTTTAGCATCTGCGTTTTAAATATATCATCCAAGAATATTTACTGATATAATATTCTCATAGGTTACTAAACCTATATTCGTCTTAAAATACAATTTTTGGCCACCACTGGCTGATAGAGCCTCGGATAGCTTAAAAATGACGTCACTGTAATAATGTAACAAAATCCATTCCATCACATATTTTAAACGTTGTATTGTTATCAGACAATTTACAATTTAGTGGGACAGACCCTATCTATACTTCTATACTAATATAATAAAGCGTAAACACACACTTCTTTGTTGCCTAAGATGTCAGCAATCACATCATATTTTCGAATAACTCTCATTTTAATAAAAAGCCCTACACTTACGTCACGCTTTAGGATATATATTTTCACGCCGTTAAACTTAGGGGTAAATATTTTGGATAAAAACACTAATGTGGGAAAGAGACCATAAGTTGTTGCCAACATCAAGGAAGCAAAGTTGCCAAGATTTGACATCATTTTGACATTTGCAATTGATAATTGACAAATGTGAACCATGAAATGATTTTTTTATAATTTTATGCGGATGAAGTCGCATGGGAACAGCTAGTATGTAATATTTTTTGCCTTATCTATCACGTAACATACTTCTTAGACGAATATTGTTAAAGCACAATTATTGATGTTTGCATTTTGCGACCTACGATTCAAAAACAACTACGTCACTAAGATAATCGACCAACTAAATAAGGCAAGGTACACACAAATTTGCGACGCGCTGTACAAAACTAAACACATTGGAATGTGGAACAAAATTAAAACAGAATGGTTTTGTTTAAATTTTATTGCAGCACGATAATGGTTTTTTTTTTAATTATTGCGTAATTATTTTCATAATGTCCAGTATTTTTTTTAATGTTATTTATATCAATTTAATTTGAAAACTAAATACTGAAGCAGTAATAAAAATGCAGATATTAAATTTTTAAAACGTTTTATAGTTAGCACATTAACTAGTGTGCGACAACCCTTATATCGACGGGAGCGTAGTGACGTTCTAATATCGAGCGAGCGTTCTCGCGTATCGCAAGGAATCGATACCAGCTGACGTCGCGTACATGATAAACAAATGTATTTTGTCGATAACGATTTTATACAGTCACGATTACACCGTCGCACAACTGTTTTGCGATTGTCGATTGTTTCTCAGCCTATTCAACTGTTTAGTTGCACAACTAAACATTGAATTTTATACCTTCATACAAGGTCATAGGAATCAAAGTGCAACTAAACAGCTGTGCGATAGTTTAGTCCAAGGTGTGCGCGCTCTAAGATGCTGTTACCGTTGTTAGTTCAGATGTTAAACCTACGTGGACTTATGGACAATACTGGCATAAAATGAAGTCACTGAGCTATCATAATTTTATTTACTTATGCACACCGGGTCATATAAAATCGGTATATAAAGGGTGCATGGTAGATTAATCTATTGTAAAGCATCAAGGGTGCGTCTTTTGTAAATGGGCACCCTGTATATTGTTTTCTTTCAAGTCACAGTTTAGTAGAAAATTAATAGATTGCAGCGTTTAATACTTAGCCTTTGCTGTTTCGTCCGCGCGGAAATAAAAACAAACTTACTAAGTAGACTTTAAGACTACGTTCTATCTTTTTCAATTTTATTAAGCTTATTTTTTACAAGAACCTTCTAAGACAATAAAAAATAAGCGAAATCGGTTAAGCGGTTACATGCCATAATCAAGGTGAATAGGAATTCATTTTGATACAAACAGATTAGTAGCGGTGAAGGAAAACATCGTGATGCCTGCACATATCGGCGAAGAAATTCAAAGATATGTGTGAAGTCAACCAACCCGTACTTGGCCAGCGTGGTTGACTATGGCCTAATCACCCTACTTTAGGGTTGGCTCCGAGCCCCTTGGTGGGGACGTATAGTGAGCTGGTGATGATGATGATGATGAGATTAGTAGCTGCAACGGCGGATACATGGGGGGTCATGGCCCCCCTGAGCTGGTTGGACAAGAGTTTGACAAAATATATTTACATACTCGTATATTGTCAAGCTGCTGACTTGACCACGACTATGTGACAAAGCTGGTTCCGCCCTTGAGTAGCTGTTCACCATGACTCCGTTCGCGCGGAATTAAGAAAAAAAAAATAATTAAGGCCTTAAAGTAATAGAATAGTTTGAAGACTATTGAGTTGTAATAAACATTTAGTCTTTTAATCTTCATTTATTTTAATAAGAAGTAAGACTTAATATCATTAGATAAATTCTTCTGCTGTTAGTGAACCAAGGTCTGGATATATCCTGTCTAAACTAAAGGTACTTAAAAAACAAAACAATTTCCCCGTATCAATATTTACTGAATTTCCAACATTTATTCACAAAAAACATCATCTAAAATCGGTACAAATGGAGCGGTTTCACACCAAACAAAATACCTAGGTGACCTAGATACTGTGAAGTCTAGCTTTAGTTAGCACCTCCAGAGACATTGAATAATAAAAACTGGAATGTATCGGAATAGTTGATGTCACCGATTGTTTGTGAACTTCGGTATTATATTTTAAAAAGCTTTTTATTGACAAAGATTGATCATTTAAAATGTTATCGGCATTGTTTTATTGTTATTGTTATACATATAACAATTACTAATGAAAGCAATAACAATATGTTTTTACACATTTTGATTACAATTTAAGTAAATTTCACTTCTGACTGTCTATAATTATGTACAAAAATATTATAATTGAAAATTTAAAAAGAAATTTGCATATCGTAGCATTTTCTTATAAATCTAAACCATGTTTTTTTTTCAATGGAAACACTTTTTGTTCGTATTTATCAATTTTCTTTGTAATACCATTTATGCACAAGTAAATTTGGAATAAACCACTCTTAGTAGAACCTAAACATCGCTTAATTCCTTACAGTTAAGAAGTAAGCATTTTTATTTCAGTTTCAATAACTTTCTAGCATTCTAACCTTTAGCACACTGCCACGAAAAAGACAAAACCATAGCTGACTGAATTCCAATAAGAATTCATAGTAAGTGAATTCATTTTCGCTTCGTTTGCATATCTTCCGCTTTACGCTTCTCTTTCGCTGCAATGTGCTACAGGTCTATAACAAAAAACACTAAAACATGTAAGGCTAGAAGCGCCATGCAATTACCTGCTAGCCGCAGTGCCGACATCCGCTGGAACTCCGGCTCCTGTAACCACTTCCACATCCGTCTGAACGTCTCTCGTCCCGACTTTAGCTTGGACCAGGGTTTAGGGTTTCTTAACAGGTCGCTAAGGGTCCCTTGCGACCGGCACAGCACCCTCTGTGCGAATATCGCTTGTGGAATCGAGTAACGCTTCAACTCCCCGCTTATCCTCTGTGCGAGCTCCTTTGTGTTGATCTCCTCCGTGTCGTGGACTTGCACCTGCTGTGCTGCCTGCTCCTCCCTCGCCAATAACGCGGCGTTGAGGTCGAGGCCAGGACTAGGTAATGGCGGCGTCGGTGACCGCCTCTCGTACGAGCCTGGCGACACACTCCGCCGACTGTACGCGGATTGTGGGGACAATGGTTCATTGTACGCGTTTGGAGATAACGACGAGTAAGACTGCTGGTGCTGGATGACCGTGAAGGTGCCACCGGCGTGGTATGCAAATTTGTCGGAGACTGTACTGATAGGAGGTAAGGGTAGAAGCGGCGTTAGTGTGGCGTAGGAGGCTGGCTCGAGACCTGGCGGTGTGAGGCGGCCGTTGACCGCCGCTAGCGGGTGGTACGCGGCGTCTCCGTCTGGTAGCAAGTCGGGTGAGAGCCGCGGCGGCGATGCGTGGCTCGGAGCCACGATCACGGTGAGTGGCGCGCGTTCCCGCATCCTCGTGTCATCCATGGCGCGCGACCGGCGGCGACGGGGTCGCGCGGGCGACTGAAGCACGCCTGCGCCGCGCCCTTCCGTCCCCTCGGTACCTCGGTCCACGTCCTGCGAACAGCCCCTATTTTTATCTCCCTCGCGCAAAACAACCTATATCCCTGGATGGATATGCGAAGTTGCACCTTCCACAATGGGCTAATAGTCCATTTTGATCTGTAAAATACGCTTGTGACGCGAACGCTCTCTACAATGCACCCTTAACCTACCCCGAGGGGGTACGAACACTATTATTGTAACGAAGCCATAGATATACATTCATTGCTGCTTGACACCTTTCTTGAGATACCCAAACTGCCTCTAAAGCAGCAATGTACTTTGATTTTCAGATAACAGTCGGGGGTTGCGTACCGTAAGCGATCACGTGGTACGTAGCTGCCCCCGTTCGAGTACTGTCACTCGGCTATTTGCGTGACTACCGCGTACTGGGGCTCCCGGACATTTGAAGGGAAACCTTTGGGTTTTTTTAACATAATAATACTACTTATGCCATTTGCTAGTCGTAAAGAACAACAATAAAAATAACTTTTATTACATTCTTAAATAATACTTACTACAAAATAACAATACTTATTGTACAATTTCATCAACTATGAATTGAAGTCTCAAACCAAATCAGTCAAAGGCACACCAAAAGGCAGTTATATTGCTTGTTGCATTCAAGTTCAAACAATATATGAACAAATGAATTTTATACCAAAACATACATACTATTCACATTTAGTACAAGCAAGAATCTTGTCAACAAAACATCTCCTTTACTTTGACAATAAGATTCTAATGGGATTTCGTAAATTCAAATATATTTAACCCAACTTTATACAACCGTACTTTGATACTATCTATACTATTATAATAAAGCGTAAACACACACTTCTTTGTTGCCTAAGATGTCAGCAATTACAGTATATTTTTGAATAATTCTTTTTTTGATAAAAAGCCCTACACTTACTTCACGCTTTAGGGTATATATTTTCACGCCGTTTAACTTAGGGGGTAAATATTTTGGATAAAAAGCCTAATGTGGGAAAGAGACCATAAGTTGCTGCCAACATCAAGGAAGCAAGATTGTCAAGGTTTTTCTTGACATTTTGACATTTGCTATTGATAATTTGACAAATGTAAACGATAAAATAAATTTTTATAATTTCATGCGGATGAAGCCGCACGGGTAAAGCTAGTTTAAGATATACATAACTATTCACTTTATTGTATATCGTAATAAAATTTTAGTCCATTCAAAAAGAATCAGCTGTTACAATTTAGTTATAATTTATGTTGTATAAAAACGTATATGAAATGTAAAGACGGGCCTAGCTACTGTAGCCGGGCACACCTGGCGCAGACAAAGGGATATCTAGGGATGTGCTGAATATCATATATCGATGTTGTATTATTTTTAGAGTGTAATTACAAAATATTAAAGAGTGTAAGATTATCTTAATAAAACTCAATTTTTAAAGTTGATTATTATTTATTTATTTAAATAATTTTAAATATTGAATTTTGATGACATGCCTTATTGTAAAATTTATTCAAATTCAATTATTTGATAAAAGGTTTGTATAATTAAAAAGTTATTTAGATTTTATTGTAAACTAGCTGTTAAATATAGCCTATGTTACTCACAGATAAATTTCCTTTCTAACGTCGAATAATTTTTAAAATCGGCACAGTAATTTCGAGTTATTTGAATACATACAAAAATATAATCTTTCTTTTTTATATTAGTATAGATAAAATCTTACCACCTAAATATCATTTTTAATATAATATATTGATACACATTTATTTCGATATCGATATTTCAAATCATTCACATCACTATATTTAATAAGCGCGTGCCACCCCTATGAGTCCTGCCGTGGTTGTAATTTTGTACAACTCGCCGCCAGTTCGCTACGGCTACGGGTCTCGTTATTGTTATATTAACACCAATATCATATTAAAGGATAACCAGTCTATTTTCTTGAATAGATAACTGCCACCCAAAAGGCTAAACAAATAAATCTATGGTTACTCTTCACATAATAACTACATATATGTCGCAATTAGAAGAAGAAACAATTTGAATTTAAGTCATAATAAAACACGAGCGCCGCCAAGCGACTTTCGTGCGAACTTAGATCATTCTGAAAATAGGGATCATTGCTAGAACATTGTTTGAACAATATGAGCTTGGTAGATCGATGATATCCTGACTTGGGAGTATTGTGAATGTGTTCCTGGAATCCGACTTTACCCATGACCGCACACATGTGATCTCGAGTAGTTCTGATATCGTGCTAGCTTAAGCCGACATATATAACTTAATTTTTACTAATATTATAAATGCGAAAGTTTTAATGGATGGCTGTTTGCTTACAGACTCTAAAGTCTGTAGCCAAAATGACTGAATCTAGATGTGGCATAGATGTCGAGTATAGTTTAGAAGAGCACATAGGTTAGGATAGGTTTTTGTTTTCATTCCACGCAAATCGGCTTAGCGGACGAAATCTCCTAGTGGTGTTAAACTTTGAGATATCTTAAATACAAAAGCAACAATAAAATTATAAGCAATTAAACTTAAGTGTACTAAATAAGTTATAAATAATGTTAAAATTATCTCAGTATTTATTGACCTACAAAATAAAGTCTACAAAGAGCTAAGACACGGTAAAGTCTACGCGACGTAGCACGTAGCACGTAGTTTGTAACATCAAGTAACCTATTTATGTCATAACTTTAAGTACGTACTTTATTTAGTTATAATATACTTTAACGGTCATAAATTTTAAAAAGATACTTTGTTAGGAAGCTTAAATTAAACCATTAAATCGCGAGCTTCCGTTTCATGAAATAAAAAAAATACAAAAGTAAACAACCTATGTGTTTTTTCAGAGTATTCTCTACACCTATGCCAAATTTCATCGAGATCCGTTCAGCCGTTTAGGCTACAAACATCTAACTTTCCATCCATTAAAACTATCGCATTTATAATATTAGTAAAATTTCGATCATCTCCTCTACCTTATCCTGTTCCCGTAGGGTCGGCACACCGGGCTTTCATCCTCCCAATAACTCTGTCATCCGTCATCTCAGTCATCACTCCCTTGATCATGTCACCTTCAAGCAATCCATCTCTTTCTAGGTCTACCTCTACCAGTGTACCACACTTATAAATAAGGTTATCCTTATAAAATTTCAATATAACGAGGAATGGAGCCATAAATGTTATAATCTTCTAATATTATTATTTTTTTACAATATTAGGTGGCAAACGAGCAAGCGGCCACCTGAATCCACCGAAATTGAAAGTGACCGCTGCCCATAAGCATCCGCAATTCCAGATGCGTTGCCTACCCTTAATTGACGTAGGAGAAGACGCACATAAAGAGGACATTTCCAATTCCTATGTGTCATCAAATGCACTTTTCCTTCCCATCCTTTCCTCTTAAGAAAAGGGTGGAAAGGGAAAGGGACTAAAACTAGGCCTCCGGCACCACACTCATCAGACGAAACGCGGAATTGCTTCCACTTCACGCCAGTTTTCTGTGTGGTCGTGGTATTTCACCGGGCGAGCCGACCCATTCGTGCGAAGATCTTAAAGCGAGCTCTACCACTGTTATAAAGAGGAAAGATCTGTATTTTTATATGTTTAGGAATAATTCAAAAACTACTGGTCCGATTTCAAAAATTCTTCCACAATTAAAAAGCTACGTTATCGCTGTAACATAAGCAGGTTTAACATATTTTTAAATTTTATTGTGGAAGAAGTCGCGAGAAACAGCCAGTACTTTTATACATTTACCAGCTGGCATCGGAACTTCACAAGCTGGATGTGGTAACGGATGTCATTATGGTGAATGGCATGTGGTCTATGGTCTATCGTGGCTCGTGCTACCGCTAATTACCACATCCTCGATGTTATCGATACAGACCCGTTTTTGTTTATGGTTGGCTGGATTTGAAGTTTTTTATGTTAACAGCACTACATAATATTAGTAGTTTTCAACCGCGACCCCGTTCGCGTGGGATTAACAAACACAAAAGTGAGTAGCCTATGTGTTCTTCCAAACTATTCTCTGCATCTATACCAAATTTCATCGAAATATTCAGCCGTTTAGACTACAAACTCTAACAAACATCCATCCATCCGTCCGTCTAAACTTTCGCATTTTTAATATTAGTATGATTGTGCATACAATAAAAACGTCGTTTACTGCTTGCATACAATTTTCAGCCCTTGTATTCATATAATTGATTAACCTTTAAGGTCAAAATCCCTTTGTTCGATAAAAAATTTACAATCAAACACCTTTAACTTTCCCTTCGAAACCCTATCTTTGTATCTAAAAAATGTATATTTGCGTGTTTAAAATATTCTGCCGACCCCTTATAATGCACCCTATTTTATTAGCGGCACGCTTTTTAACATGACAGCTGCGCGGCCGCCATTTTGTGACGTCACCCCATCGATTTTTTCCACAATCGATGATATCGACCGCACACCTGTTCGCGTCTTCCTGGAGCAATGACCTTTTTGTTTGCTTTTAAAAATCCCGATTTCTTGCAAAAAACAGATAAAAGACGAATAAATCTTACTATCATTCGCCACTTTATTCTCGCGTATTAAAAAAAAACTCAAAAAAACAAAAAATGCGAGTCAACTTTCCTAACTGTAGTTTCTATGGCCATACTAGCTTTCACCCGCGACTCCGTCTGCTTGGAATAAAAAAAATCAAAACTGAGTAGCCTATATGTGTTATTCCAGGCTATCCTCTACATCTCTATCAAATTTCCCCGAAATCCGTTAAGCCGTTTAAGCTACAAACTCTAACAAACATCCATCCATCTAAACGTTGCATTTATAATATTAGTATGACTAGTGTCACTTGAGCTCTCATGTTTTTTATAAAAACTTGATTAAACGAATTAACCACAATTCCGCTTTTACTTGGTCAGGATATGAAAGTTTTCTATGGTTTCTCATCCA